GGCGCAACTTGTCGTCACTGGAGAGAAAAATCAGCAAAAAGCCTAAATCATTAAATTGTATTAGTGATGCCGAGCAGCAACGCTCAACACATTGGCTTATCTTTGTTTGGATTAGTAAAGGTTTCGACGCAAAAAACTGGGGAAAAGGGTCAGGAGAAAACGCACAACTGTGATGCCAAGATGTGTGTACACGCAGCTGTCGCCCTTTTTCTCACCTACACCCAGCACTTTTGGTACTTGTTCCCGGAGTTGGACCATCACGGTTCTCAAACTTGACATTAAGGATCATCATCCAAACATATCCAAACAGGATCTTTCGTCACACCAATCCCATCTGATAACTGCAATCATAGCAATAACCATGATCGTATTATCATGAGGATTCAACCACCTCTTCAAAAGTCAAGCCTCAAACGTAAGGGATTACTTTGATAACATGATATAAACTTCAATCAAGACATGGGTAAAAACTGTGAAATCCTGTACAACAGAAAGGAGTTGACATAAACTTTATGTACGTCAACGTTGAGATGTTTCCAGTGAGTGTGTAGAAATCACATGGATAGAAGACCACGCGTAGCGCAGAGTCCGCGTGGGGAGAGAGTAGAGAAACCGAGGAGTGAAAACCGAAAAGATTTCCTACCCGTAACGTCAAGTATGCGCACCAGTGCGGCAAAGCTTTCTAGCATAACATCCAGCATGCGTCCCTCTACATGCAATCCCTCTTCACCGACATGTAGCACTGTACGCAATCAAACATTGCCCTGCTGCGCCATCCACATTGCAGCAACCGTCACCAGCACCAACCACAAATCAGCTATAGCAGCGACGTCTCCGCATAACATAACAAACACACGCAACTCTAGCAGCAATTTCTCCTAAGAAGCCTCATGTCTACGTAGCAGGGTCTGGCCTTCTAATGCTCAAGCACATATGTATCATCCGACTCTAAGCCACAGTACGTGCAAGAGCAGCAGCACAGCCCACGGCACAACAGAATTCATGCTCGCAACAACAGCCACCAAGTCGCGTGAAAGGCATCAAAGCTTGGCACGTGCACCGTGTCGCTCCCTTCCTCATAGAACCTGCCCTGCGTCCGAGAATGCAGGAGTCCCAGCAGCTTACTGCCACAAGCGATTGGTTTTATATACCCTGGCATCATCAAGGACACCCACTTACCGCCACAAGCGATAGATTTTTTACCGCCACAAGCGATTGAAAACAGAAACGCGATTTTACCGCCACAAGCGATTAGGCCTTGAAATGTTGCACCTGCCACGCAAAAACAGCAATCACCTGCGGCAGTTTAAAAGAAATCGCTTCCGACAGGAAAAAAATGAACGTTTTTACTGCCACAAGCGATTGGCACATCTTACAGCCACAAGCGAGGTAGGAGCCGTGTAAAGTGTGGAGTGTAAAGTGTCAAGCGTAAAGCGTGGAGTGTAAAGTGTGGAGTGTAAACGGTAAAGTGTGGAGTGTGGAGTGCTGCGCCTGCCACGCAAAATGACGACAGAGATCTCCAAAATGCTGCGACTGCCACGAAAACTGCTACTCATCTTGCGCAAACGACGCAAAAGTATTGCGCCTGCCACACAAGACGACTTTCGACACGTTATCAAACAGGTTGGAATGTCACAAAGTGCCATGCCTGCTACGCAAAACAACATTACGACCTGCATGGAAACATTCGAAAAGGAAAGGTTTTGCAGCTTCCCCCATAGACACGGCAAGGCCACAGGAAAACCAGAGACTCGAGACGAGACACGTGGGAGCATCAAAACGACCATTTCGTGCGAGACTTCCTCCACTTTTCACACTTTGTAGCTTAAAAATCGACGGTTTCCTACGAGTTTTCTTAGGAACCTTTAAATTTACTACTTCAAAATCGATGTTTCGTGCGAGGCTTCCGTCAATTTTCAGCACATGCCACAAAGTACCATGCCTGCCACGGAATTTGCACCTTGTCGCCACTTGACACAGCCCTGACAATGCGATTCGCAAAAACACGCAACACGACACGTCTCAAGTGCTGCGCCCACGCAAAATGACGATGGACACGTCCGAAGTGCTGCTCCTGCCACGAAAACTGCAACGCATCTTGCGAAAACGTCGCAAAAGTATTGCGCCTGCCACACAAAACGACTTTCGACACGTTACAAAACACGTCTGAATGTCACGAAGTGCCACGCACTGCCACGCGAAACGAAGCAACGCGACGTTTGAAACCTCCAAAAACGATCCCTTTTCTGCAGAACTTTTATCACACGGACGGTTGCGAACGGTTGCGGACGGTTGCGAACGGTTGCGGACGGTTCGGCAACGTCGAGCGAACACACCCTCAACCCCCAGGCCCCCAGAGTGAAACAGGAACCCTTGCTACGCATTCGGGAAAAAAGTAGATTTTGCGGCGTCAAAAAAGTAATCAATTGGGGAGGGTAACCCGCAAATGTTATATGTTTCCATGATTATACCTAGAAATAACAATCATTAACCACCATTGACCATGTCTAGTCATCAGTCATCCTGGAGTAGATAGAATATGGAAATGTCAATGAAACATCATCCGCAAAAAATGATGATATGTTTGAAAATCCTATATTCCGACAGACTTCAGGATGATTTCCCACAATTGTCCCATATATATATATATAAGAAATATTATTATAGATTACTATGTTTTATAATATATATATATATTGTATATATTATATTATATAGATAATATTATATATATATTAATATATATATACATTAATATATATATATAATTATAATTATAATAATAATTATTATTATATATTATTATTATTATTATTATTATATATATTATATATATTATATATTATATATTATATATTATATTATATTATATATTATATATTATATATTATATATATTATATATTATATTATATATATTATATATTATATATCATATATTATATATTATATATTATACATTATATATTGTATTATCTTATCTTACATTATATCATATTATTTTATTATGTATATTAAAATATAATATATATATATAATTATATTATATTATATTATATTATATTTTAAAAACTAATATTATATATATATAGTATACTAATATATTATATATATATATATTATATTATATTATATTATATTATATTAATTATATTATATTATATTAATTATATTATATATATATATTATTGAATATGATGTATTATTTAATACTATATATTATATATGTTCTATTATATCTTATATATAGCCATAATTAGCCACCATTGACCATAGATGTCTTGGGTGGTTTTGAGCTTCCAAGTGTCTTGGGCATCGAGGGAACAGAGCCCGTCACCGAGCTCGAAGAGGTCACGGAAGTCTTGGCGCGCATCTGCAAGTCCTGGGATTTCTTGGCAAAAAAAAATCAGAGTTCGTGTGAGTATATATAGTATATATTCTCTTAGTACCTATATATACTATATATACTATATATACTATATATATACATTATAAAGTACAAGTATCTATAGTGACTAAAATCAGAGTTAGTTAGTTGATCACCATCTGCAAATGGTGAAATATATTAGTATCTATATATATACAGTATATGTACGTATGTATGTATATCATTTTACTAGATGTTACTAATCATCTGTAAATGGTAAATACTTTAACCAAGAAGAATGGATGATTCATAGAGAATTGAAGAATTGATGGGAAAAGCAGTAGGAAATCAAACATGGCTAGCTGATAAATCCTCATCAATAGCATTTAGAATAGCTAATTATATAGATGGGGACTTGTCCGTTGCCATATTTGGTTACCTGAGGGTGATGGTTTAGGCAATAGAAAATGAGGTCGATATAAAGATGATGGCTTTAGGAAGTAGAAATTAAGACCCAACCGAAACGGGGATGACATGATGGTTTTAGGCAGTGAAAGTTAGAACTCAACCACTGGAAACGGGAATGAATCCCGCAAAAATGGGGATAGATCCACAAGCATGAGGATCAAAGCAAGAAAATTATGGAAAATTGGCTGCAAACGACAAAAAAAACTCGGGCATTGCAGCCATTCGGGAACCCTCATCTGGCCGTTTAACATGGTCCTGGAAACCCCTTCTTGGAAGATCGGCTATGGCAATGGAGCCTGGTTGTTACTCTGAAAAACCTCGGCAAATGTTATCTTTCCATGTTTTGCCAAGTCAGCAAGCCACTCCCCATTTCCTGAAAGTCCCCGAGTTTGAAACACCACATAGCACTCAGTATCCCCATCCGTTTACGAAATTCATTCGGTACAGGGGCCGCTACCACTTACAATGGGGATACACATATCACATACCCCTAACTGTTGGGTTCTATCATGTTATACAAATATATACCCTCTGGTAATTCAACAGTTTGCTATTGAAAATGGACCATAGAAATAGTGGATTTATATACTTTACCCACTGAAACTGGTGATGTTCCATAGTTATGTGGCTGTTTACCAGAGGGTATATATAATACAGTACTTTATGACCCAGTTACCCTATTGTAATTGTAATGTAATCCAGTCTGGCAATGCGAAAGCCGCGGGGCTCGCCGCATCCTTCGAAACCAAATGGCTCGAGCACGCTCGAGCCAGCCAGGGATTACCAAAGGGTAATTGTAATTCATTGCATCGCCAAGCTTGGATACCCAAACAAAACTGAATCTTTAGGTAACTAGCTAAGAATAGCTAAGAATAATTATCTTGGATAATCTTAGCTTGGAACTTCATTCGCTCTCCAAGGTTTACCCAACCAATTGGCAACCAATTGGCCCATCAGCGCCATCCTTTTTCCTCTGTCCGCTGGCCGCTGGCAACTGGAGTGGCATCTGTCCACCACAGCCAGTTGCACATCAGCCACAGTCAGTTGCGGGACGCCTCGCAGTGAAAAAAGCCGCCTTGGGAAATCAAGCCATGTGGAAAAATGCTGAGCAACCATACTTATGATTCACAAAACAAAATGGGATCCCAACTCCCAACTCACTGAAAGTATACTGGCCCGGGCGAACACGTTTAACACTCAAAATATTGGCCCATCTGTGGACAGAACCACAACAGATTTGCTGCGATGATTTGCTGCTCCACAGCTGACCAAACCCGGGGCAGAATCCGGCGCCTCTTCGGGGCCTTCCGGCGACCAGGGCGCAAGAAGCGTGGACAGCGACCTCAGAGCTCGGCTCGGAGAATCATCGGCTATCTATCTATCTACCTATCTATATATATATATATATACGTTACATATATATATATATACTATATATAAATACTATATATATATATGTGCATATAACTTAACCATATAGGCTGTATAGGGGAAAAGCAAAACCTTTCTTTCCCCAGCTATATAACCATATTATACCATATTACATATATATAATATGAATGTAGACCCCAGTTCTGAGATATCCCCCAGTTTTATATGGGTCATAAACCAAGTAAGCAGGTTACCACTTACTCACTGGGATGCCCAAGTAAGGTGCAGTTCCAGTGAACTAAGTGAAACTAAGCAAACTATGGGAATATTATGAGAAAATATGGTGGGGATACAGTTGTACCAACTTAATATGATATGGTTTGAGTGTGTGAAAATAGACTAATGATTATTATTTGGAAGTACAGTTCCATAGTTCACTAAGTGAATAGATTTCACCATAGCTATAGGATGTCATTGACAAACCCTGGTTCTACCCATAAAAGGAATTAGCCCCAAGTGGTAAACATGATCCACTTTCATCTTGGGATCATTTGGATGTAGATGATCTCTTTTTGTGGATTGTATGATTGGTGTTGGACTTTTCTTTCCAAAAAAAAATGTGTGGATTCTTGGGATTCTCTGACCATTGGGATTTAGCAATGATTGCTCAGATGGGTGAATCCCAAGGTTTTTCGACCGGAACCAATTTAAGGTAGGCTTATACTACCGCACAAACATTGGGAGATTTTTTTGACCTGGAAAAGTGGTGGTTTCGTCCGCAAATAATTGTTGTTTGGAACTGCGGAATTGTTGTGTGAAGCATGAACGTGTGAAACTGAACCAAGGGATGATGTTTGCAACCAAAACTGTGATTTCATCTGAAAAATTGTGATCTTGGCCATGAACATTGGGGTTGAAGCTAATTATTGAAAAAAATTGGTCGAGTCGAGGGATTTGAATCGTCCATGATGATCTTCTGAGATGACTGTGGTGCCTTCTGATGCTTATCGGATTCCCAACAGCTCGTCTCTTCAGATCACATTTCTCCGATGTCCAGTGTTTCGGGCGGGTCAAATGCTCCGGAAATAAGAGGATCCCCATCAACAAGGGAGGATAATATAATATAAGTGACGGCTGTAAAAACTATGTTTTTTCAAATTGGGGGGGTGGCACAGTATGCAGGGTATGCAGTGCAAAAGATGTACAAATGCATCAAATGTAGTCGCTACATGGGTTTGTCAAATAGGACCCTAAAAAACTGGTGGTTGATCATTTGCTTGATCATCATTTCCCACATTAAAGGATCATGTTTCGCAACTAAAAATGTATGTAATCCTCCAGTTTGGACAAAAATCAAACAGCCATGGCTTTGAAAAAACGGGGGCCGGGGGCTGAAGATATCTCAATCATGGTGGATTTGATCCCATCGCTCTCCCAGGGCTCCCCAAACGTGTCTTGCTCTAGCAAGGTGTGGGCCCTGAGTTCACTGAGCCATGAAACACAGAAAAAAGGCTGAATGGTCATCCATCCCAGAATGAAACTCCCTGCTGAAGTCCTATGAAAAATGGGTCATGTAAATCCCTAGATTGATGACCATCTAGTTTTATGATGTTTTTATGGCAATATAAAGTAAATGTGTTGACCATGGCCATCATTTTGCGCCTTGCCAGTTCCTCCTTCATGCGGAGCCAACTCCACCAGGTCATACCTCAGGTGCCGTGCCAAATCGTGGACGGTCAGAGCACCAGGACTGGGTGGCCCCAGCCCATACTGTAAACATTGGAAAGTCGTGGAGGACCATCATCACAAACGGGATGAAAACAGAGATGATACATGATGATACCCACCACATCTCATGAAATCATAATGATTTGAAAAGAAGCAAACAAATCCAATCACCAACCAATTGCCAGCTGAAGTCGGCTTTATCCAAGCAATGGGAAAAAAACCATAATTTCAAATATTTCAATCCGAAAGAAAAAATCGAAGCCAACAACACATGACAAAAAATCTGGTGACCTCACTCAACATTTTGACCCAGAAAACCCCTGATCCAAGGAGGTCGGTGTCCCAGTCCCAGTCACCGCTACCCAAGTTCTTCTTCGGGGCGAAGGGATCTTCGATGTTCGGTCCGCACTCGGTGGTCTTCGGTCCGTCCTCGTGCTCGATGATGTGAATTGGCCTCGGATCGGCATCCCATGGCATCGCAGGCGCGCCGCTACTGGGGTGTCCTTTCCGAAAGAGAAATGTGGACATTTTACCGGTAAACATACAAAAAAAACATGGAAAATCACCATGCGATTAATGGGAAAACTCACTATTGCAATGGCCATTTTCAATAGCTATGTTTGTTCACCAGAGGGTAGATGTTTAGTGGGACTGTTGCAACAGCTCAAGACTCCAGGTTCATCCTCCCCAAAAACAGTGCCACTTGGAGAAACGCACACCAGTACCTGGTTAGGAACAGTTGCTATTCTCTCATACCGGCGAACACTTCTCCCGTCAAATCAACACATGGGCACATGTTCATACATGTTGATACATTTTGAAGAATTGTCCCTTATTCTGAGGCCATACCCATATCATACTGCTGGTTCTATCACAATGAAATCTCCCCTTAAATTTCTTGCTTCAATCCCTTCAATCCCAATGTTTCTTGGTGAAAATCATATCTTAATGTCATCATATTGCGATATGTTGCGATACTTAAGCATGGCTATAGATATCATCCCATCATGTCATCATGTGAAAATCCCTTACCCTCTGGTAAACTAACATAGCTATTGAAAATGGCCAGTTATAGTGAGTTTTCCCATTAAAAATGGTGATTTTCCATAGTTTTTGTATGTTTACCAGAGGGTAAATCCCCAAATCACCGATCTCCTCCATGGCTGATATCCTCCTCCCAAGCCACCGCTTACGGGACAAAGGGGCAACGAGAGAGGCATGGGACCCTGGGTACCCTTCAGCACACAGACCGCCTGGAGGCGTTCGATGGGGGATCACTGTTGTAGTGGTGAATATATATATATGGTTAATATATGGCTATTATATGGTTATTATATGGTTAATAATGGTTAATAATAATCTGTTTGGTGGTATACTATCACTTCCCATCTGGTTATTTAACAGTTTGCCATGGAAAGATCCACCCATGCTATTAATAGCTAAACCATCTAAAAATGGACCATCTATACCATGGCTATGTTAAATAACCAGAGGGTAACATCCATCAAGAGTGGAGATTTTTTGCATCAATGAGATTGAATATCGTTGTGAAAATATTGGGAATCATCATTCATAGTGGCAATTTAGAGTTATCTACCATGAAATATGTCTTTTGGGAATCAGCATTGATAGTCGTTAAGATCCACCTAGAGTGGTTGATATCCATTAAGAGTGGCTATCCCATTCTTGGCGGGAGGCAATGGGAATGTGGACGACTATATGTGTATCCTGTGTCTAACGGTGGTTAATTGGCGAATCATGGTTATATCATATCCATTATGAATGGATTCATCCCTATCAACAAATATCCGTCAATAGACATTCCATTCATCAAGTAGATATGATCTATTTGGGCCGAGTTGTATCTATTTTTGGGGATTAATTCTGGCATTATCCGTTCATAGTGGTTAATATCTATTGATAGTGATTAAGAATGGAATTAATATGGATTACCCTGTAATCATCCAACACAACTGCGGTATAGATGGCCCAAACGAATGGTGCGTTTTCATAGCTATGTTGATTTACTGGAGGGCAAGCGGCAAGCGTCCAAAATGAAGATCATAACATCAGAGAAAGGAGCCGGGACAAATCAGATACGCAAAGACCCACAGCACCATAAATCCAACCAGACTTAACCATCATTAACCATCATTAACCATCATTAATCCCTTGAGAAACCACCATGGCCCTTGCATGGCTTGAAACAGTCTCATGGCCTAGCCTCTGACTTCCACGGAAAGCTGTTGTAGAACTGCCTCACCACTAAGGGATGAGATTTGCGCCACCACTAAGGACGTTGGATTCTATGATACCGGAAAGCACAAATTGGCCTGAGAAAGTGCCGTTGGTCCAAATGTATACATAGATATCTATCTATATATATATAATTATATATACATTTCTTGAGTAGCCAGTTTCTGGAGAAGGATTATTCTTGGAAGCCGTCTTGAAACGGGCACTTTCAAACGGGTCAAAGCCTTGCACCTACCTCCAAAAATCAGCTCCATGGACTCCATGGCTTGCTGGAAGATCCAGCATTTATCGAAGATTTTCCGGCTGGCCACCAGCAAATGGCACAAACTGGGAGTACTTTTGGAGTATACTCCATTTCTGTACAAACCCAAAGAAGTCAATGCCATGCTACTCCCATATCAATCTACTAAAATCCATGTCCTGCTTGAAGAAACCATGGCATCAAAGGGCAAAGTCCGCGTCCGCCTCATGAAATGTCTAACCCGTATCCCCAAAAATTGATGATATCCGATCATAGCTCAATCACAATCCCGTTTTCTGGTTTTAACATGTTTTAATAGGTATACATATAAATAATCTATATTACATATACATGTTTTGATTCCCATCATTTTGGACCAAACTCACCTTGTCACAACACCAAGCTACATGAACCCCTTGAGGAGCTCGGCGGCCGTGAGCTCGCTGGCCTGGCATTGTTGTTCGTCACAAGCCATCAGAAATCAATGAACAAATCAATGGAAAAAAACATGAAAAAAGTCCATGAAATTTCTTAAAAGTCCACACAAATCCATTAAAACCCATCATCCATATCCATTAAAACCTATAATCCATTCAAATCCTTTAAACTTTAAACTCCGTTATAAATCAGAAATGGGATCACCGGTATATCCTTTGCGCCTTGCCACGCCATGGTTGAGCAGTTTTACCACAACCGGCCGGGAGGAGATCCTTGATGGCCTGCGGTTGAGGGTTTCAGGGTTTGACCAAAAGAAGGTACACCTAAAAAATGGGAAATATATGGAAATATGATGAGCAAGTGGATATGGGTTCTACCATGTTCTACCCCTATATCCCATGTTTGGACAAAGCCACTTTGGAAAAAAAACAAAAAGGGATGAAGCTAGGAGAAGAAATTGGAAGCAAATCAGCAAGACTTGGGAATTCAGAGGGTAACAATGGGAGTGGTTCAATCAGAGGTTGAGATTTCTACCAGAAAGAATTGGGATTCACCCAGCACAAAATGGGATCGCACGGAGCTTCAAACCAACCGAATTGTATGCTCGATTGGACAGGATAATGGAAGTGGACAGCCCAACCTTTTCCAATGAAAAAAACATGAAAAATCATCCTCAAGGGGTTCCAGGTAAGCAGGGGAAGATCATTAACAAATTTGACTCCTATGACCTACAAATTCTGACTGCCATGGGGTGTCAATTTAAAATGGCCCCTATCGAACCAGCACCGCCTGAAATTCCGCCACAGGAGGCAACAGGGGTTCCTTTTGGGCGACTTGCAGGTAGTACACCACCAACCTCCACCGATCGATTCCATTGGATTCAGCATGATGCACAAAGAAACCTCTGAGGGTCCTTCGAATCCCAATGGGTTGCACCAAAATGAGATTTCAATGGGAAGTACTAATAACATCTAATAACTATAACCTTCGCCCCAAAATTGCAGGTTGTCACTTGTGGACGGAGAATTTTTCAAGAAATAGCCTTTGGCCAACGCAGGGTGAGATACCCGGTGCTAGGATGAAGCTCGTGACTTGTCTGGCACTCTCAGGGTCACAGAAAGTCTATAGCTGGAAGCTCAGAATATGATGATTTTTTGATTAGTCTATGCATCCTGTGTATGAAATGCATCTGTGCATACTCAGGTACCGAATATGGACGTATACATGTCCATATATATATATAATACACATACATCGGTGCACATTGTACGCCTATCTATCATTCTGCGCCTTTACTACAGTGCTAGAAAGATATAGAGTTTATATACGTCCGTAGAAAGATTTTATCATTTACTTGGTCCTGCTTCACGTTCTCTTCTAAACTCAGTATATATATACATATATATATAATATATATATACAATATATATATATATATATACGTCCCTAGATAGAGTTTAGGAGAGGAAGTGAAAGTGGAGCAGGACCAACGACCGCTGGGCAAATGACAACAATCGCCAAGCAGCAAGCTCCACACGTAGGGCGACAAGTGTCCCTGGAATTGGCGGCACTGCGGTCACTGCAGTCCCGTTATGTGAATATATATATACCATATATACATATGTGTGTGTGTAATTTTAATACGTGTGTATATATAACTATACCAGTTTCAAGGGGTTAGTTATACTCCAATTAGCAACAATACCAGCAAATCAATCTATTGAGACAACCGATTATCCTTTCTGCTCGTGGACATGGCTGATGTGGATGGCCCCCTGTACAAATCTGAATATCCCAAGTCCACACCTTACTACTTTGGCCTTGTCTGTTACTCATATATATATATAAATAACCAAATCCTATACATTTAAACCATTGTATTATGTTCATGATATAAACCATCATATGAACTTGGTTGCGTCTATCCTACGTTTTAGCCAAGAAGTTCTATCTAGTCTGTTTAACCAATGCACATGAATGCGTGTATACATATATAGATATATATAGTTACCTCTATACATGCCTCTATATAAATATTTAGTCCATGTGTATGTTATATATTATATATTATAATATTATATATATATATATTAATATATATATATGTAAAATTGTATATATTATTGTATATATAGTACATGTAGTATATTGACATTGATCCCAATGTCATCTCCCCGCTTCCGCACCTTGGGTGCGTGGCAAATACCGCGATCTTTTGCCCAGCGGCGGATCAACAGGATCAGCTCCTGCCAAGAATCCGGCGCTCAATAAAAAGGTGGTGTTTTTTTTGAATTGTTTAAAACCCAACAAAATAGTGTTTTTATGGTGTTTATGTTTTTTGTCTCGATTTTGTATGGTTTTTAATGGTTTCTATGTTTTTATTTATGGTTCCTTTAATGGTTTTAACCAACTGATCTTGGGATTCAATGGGATTCAACGATTCAGAAAAAGGGTGTTAAACTGGAGTTACTGTACCAAAATTGGGATTTAAACAGCAAAGTCTTGTGGATTTGTTTACGTCTCCCAACAAAGCATGGGGATTTGAACCATCAACAAGAAAGATTGCTTACTGTCGTTGACTGAACGAAATTGGGTTGCAGTTCTACAAGAAATACTGCTTTTTCCGGATAACAAATGCAACTTGAGGATTAGAACTTGCTTCATCTCACCAGAAATGAGCACAATTTCACCCTAATTTCAAACATTCAATATCCACCTTGCTAAGAATATGAGCAGAGCAAAAATGGTACCGCGTTCCCCAAAAAACAAAACGAGCGCCTTGCTCTGTGGGTTCAAGTTGCCGCACCTGGGCGAGGAGTTGAACAACCAGATGGTGAGGTGACATTTAATGGGGATATACTGCGCATCATTTATGGGATATAATATAATATGAGATGATGAAATGCAATATAATATAACATTATATAATATATTTGAAAAAAAAAAAACTCTATAATATATTGTAATTATATATATACTTATATACGTGTGTTGTTTATGTTATGCATATAAATATATAATATATATATATATATACAAACCAACTGAATATGATCTATGGGTGTATCTGAACATGGACCATGGTACACCCATAAGATGACCGTTGGGGAAAAATCAAATGCCCTATTTTAGGACAAGCCGATATAAGTCTATCATAGTCTATCTGAAACTAGGGTACCCCCAAACTCTCGTGGTTTTTCATCATTGTCCCAATCAAATTGCGATTTTGGGGGTACCCACAATTTTTTTGGACAAGGCCCAGTGAATTCCAGTTATTGCCAGTGAATTCCGCGTATTTTAATTGGTTTAGGTCCCATGTAAATCTTCATGGTTGTTGTTTCCCAATTTACATGGGTTATATCAATCTCCGTACGTTTGTTACCCAAGTCTCCATCATGTGTGAAGTCCATGCTTCGAATATCTTCGAATAAGTCAGTGGAGAGATTCCTCTCTCCAAAGGGACAACACAAACGGGATGTTTTTTGACACTGGAGATCCGCTTTTCACAGATCCCAAAAAACTGGATCAGTCGTGAACTGTTTGAGTCGATGAACTCGACTCGAAGGTATGAACAACCAATGGGAATATCTAGTCTAATGGGAAGGATATAATAACCAACCAATTGAAATATCCAAATGCTTTGACTTCTGGAAAGGCGACTTTTCTGGAATTCTTTACGAGCAAAAGCTTGGAACTGAACTGCCAGATCGCAGTGCAAAGGCCGTTGCGGGTTTCCCATTTGGGGACCGCGTGCATTGCACTGGGTTTGGCAAGGATTGATCACTTAGCATCCTGTTTGCAAATGTCCGTCTTCGCCAAGCGTGTCGAATCCTTCCCCCAAGTTTCGTTTGCAAAATTTAAAGACGATACTAAAGTCAAGCCTAAGACCTAAGATCTATAATTCTACCACCCATGTAAAAGTAGAAGATGCGCTTTCTGCTTTTGATTTTTCTGTTGGTAAAAAGGCAGAATGATCAAAAGAGCTCTAGTTTGACCAGGAAGAAAGAAAGATGCTCAGAGATATCTGTCACATGTGGGTTCTAGCATTGCGTGATCATGCACTACTGTAGGGTTTGGAAACCTAATTGGAACTTGATTTCGTAGCTGAATATCTGGAGGACTTCGTCGTGCATGTTGTGATGCGCCGCATTCCATGTGTGTGTGTTGCCGAAATTCTCGTGTTGATGTGTCAAAGCACCTAAACTTGCTGGTCTTCTAGACACATGTTGCTGGTTACCCTCTGGTAATTTAACATAGCTATTGAAAATGGCCATTTATAGTGAGTTTTCCCATTAAAAATGGTGATTTTCCATAGCTATGTTAGTTTACCAGAGGGTAAATCCTAAAGATCTTGTTGCAACCCAAATCCTCGAAAGAAAAACACCGTTCATCTTTCATGGTTGAATCCCCTCGATGGGCGGCTTGAGATGGATGATGATAAAGGGTAGAAAATAATCCCCTAACAAATTTAAATCATCATCAACCAACAAGGGTTTGGAACAGCGGTTAGTATATCCCATGACATATGTCCATGAATTCCCATGGTTAATCCCGTTAAGTTCATGGTGAATCAATGGTTATTATAGGGGTTGAACAGTGTTTTGAATCCCAAAACTCGTCAACCAATTCCCGGATGCTTTTCTGGCCTCAAATGATTCGTTGGTGAAAAATATCCCATTCAAGTTGGGACTAGTATATGCTTCCCATTAGACTAGATATTCCCATTGGTTGTTGGATATTGAAAAATTTGTTGGTTATTATATCCCAGTAAAGTTCCATTAACTTACTTGGTTATTTAGAATTCCCATGGAGTTCCAATTTACTATAATTATGATGATAAAAAAACTTTGAAATGACTATGATTCCATATCATCATTCCCATATCCCTGTAGTTATATCATGCTATATATCCCCGTTTTATGTGTATATATATACATATCCCCATATTCCATAATATTCCATATATCCCCATGTAATATTATTCATATATCATATGACTAAAATGCCACTCAAATTCCACTAAATCCCAATAAATGTTGGTTCATCAATGCTTCTTGGGTCACGAAAATCTCTCGGGCTTCAGCGCCAAGAGACTCCGAGATCAACGCCGCGCTGTGCAGCGGCGTCACGGCGTTCACCGAGATGTCTATGGGCACCGCCTCTTTAGGCGCGGAGGGCCGATGCGACGTAAGAACGGTGATGTTCAACCAAACTTGGTGATCGTCACAAAAAAAGATAGATGCTGATGTTTAACCAAAATTGATCATATGTGATAACCCACAAACATCTTTGCACATTGGTGATTTAAGAAACAGGGTGATTTGACCAAGCAAAATGGGATGGGCACCAGGGACAGAGAGGACATTGATCTACACATTACAGCATATATAGTAATATATGTAGTGTTGATATCTGGTTGGTGGTATACCTACCCCTCTGAAAAATATCGGTCAGTTGGGATTATTATTCCCAATATATGGAAAAATAAAAAATGTTCCAAACCACCAACCAGATATATATCATAATGTAATGTTGAAGAATGTTGAATATACATAATATATACAACATGCTTGTATATGTATATATAATTGAAGGAAGTCCACGTGCAAACTCTTGGGCCAACTACACCCTTTTCCACCCAAAAAGCTGAGGAAAAACAGCAGAAGTTGAGGGTTTTTTTAGGGTTTTTTCACCCCTGAAATCTGATATGAAATCACTCAGGCTGACCGAGGCTGGCACGGTGTCAAAAATCTTGAGCTCAGAGGGCACCAACAACGTCATCTTCGGCTCATTCCTAGGGCACAAGAAAACTCTGGGCAGCCAGCTATCCAAGTGATCTGTAACATGTATATATATATATATGTATTATTTGTATGTATACAAATGCATTCCGCGTACGAATTGAGAATTAAAAAAATAGTGATATTTCGCCATAAAACCATCCCAGTACATCCCCATCCCAGTACCATGGGAGTCATGTTGAATTGGTCAAAAAAAAATCATCCCATGAGGGCTATATCTAATTGCAATCAATGTCATAAACATTTCAATGATGATGTTAAAATATGTTAAACATGTCAATGATTGATGTGAAGAAATGTGAATCAATGTCATAAACATGTCAATCATCATCCCATTGCGTTCACATCATCCCAAGTGCGGATGGTTTATGGCTGTGATTCACATGGCGGCGATTCGGCGATCCCCGAAGTGACCAGCCATGGGTTACCCACTGACCATGGCTTCTAACTTCACTTGGAGATATAGTCATCCTTTTTTGTAGATATGTTGCAAAAAATGATGACTCTTCAATCTGTATATAATATATACATGCTTGTAATTTTAGTTTTGAAAAGTTTCACATGTTCTATCTACATTCAGGATGACTATGGTTGGGTTCTCCCGCGCTCAGCTGTGGCTCCCGGACCCGCGGAAGCCAGAGCGCCGGAACTTGAAACCCCCGGACTCGGTGCGGGAACCAAGCGGAGGTTCGGAAATGGAAATCTTCATGGGATTGGAATCAAATGGGATTTTAATGGCATTTTAATGGCATTTTAATGGGTTCCAATGAACTTTGCTGAGTCGAACATGCATTCCGAAAATCCATGAAAATCATGATGTTTCATGAGACACATTGGGTCTAATACCCTGTAATTTACTCTAAGTAAATTCACAGTTCGACCCTGAAAACAAGCCATTTTGAGTGGAGACTCTTCCAACCCCTGGCGCGGCCCGGCACCAGGATTTCCCATCTGAGCCCAAAAACAACGAGGCGATCGGCACAAATGCGAAGCCTCAGCGATTTTTCGAAGGGGTTTTGTTGGAGTAGCCATGGACCAACAGTGTTTCAGTTGCCATGGGTCGTTGATCTATTTTTGGATGGTACCCTCTGGTTATGTCAAAATAGCTATTGAAAATGGCCATTGAAATAGTGAGTTTTCCCATTAAAAATGGTGATGTTCCATAGTTATGTTAGTTTACCAGAGGGTAATAAAGACATTCCCACACTACCCTCCAGTAACTTCACAGAAAGCCATGGTTTCCATGACCCGTTTGTAGATGATCAAGACCAACTCTCCACGGTCCTCTGCACCCTACATTTGATCCGTGAACTTCATGGGATATAACTGATACCCTCTGGTTATTTAACATAGCCATGGAAAATCACAATTTTTAATGGGAAAATCCACTATAAATGGCCATTTTCAATAGCTATGTTAGTTTATCAGAGGGTATAACCCAGCTACTATCCATTTAGCAAACTTTGGGCATCGTTCCACTTGGTGTGGGGAGATGATGTCCTTCGCTACCGTTTAAAAAGCCTGGAGATCCTGCAAGTTCATAAATGCTTGCAGTCAAAATGGAGGTTTCCAAAAATGGAGGGGTACCCCAAATCATCCAAGTCATTAGATCATTAGATCAGTCTAAGCATCTAACAAACTGATCTAACTAATCTGGTTGATTTGGGGCACCCAAAAATGGAAACATCCAGTCTAGTATTGATCCCGAATTTTAACAAACTCCCATATCTATCCTGATGGCCAATGTGTCCACAACTTTAGGGACCATATGGGACCATCATACCAGCAATGATACCAACCATCCTGACCCATCCTAAGCCTTCCAGAACCCAATCCACGAACTTCCTTGGAAATCAGACCCACATTGATCATCAACAATTGATATTACAAAAACTCTGATAACTAGTTGTGTCCCTTTTTATCTTCATATATATATATATATATATGGGGTGGTCGTTGGCACCCCTAGAGCATTGGTTTCTCCGTGAAACAAAACCAATCATGCGGATCATGACTCGGGGTACCAAACAAAACTTAGGGAACCCCAAATGAGCCATCTGGATTTGTTCCATGATATTGCTTGCTTAATAGCTATATCCGGAATAAACGACTTATAATACCCTCCAGTAATTCGACATAGGTATGGAAAATCACAATTTTCAATAGGTAAACCTTCTAAATCATCTGGAAATGGGCCAGTTTCCATCGGTGTGTTGAATAACCAGAGGATAAATCCCCATTTTTAGAGTTTAAAGACACATTACCCAGGTGATTTCATGGGTTATATCCCCAACCACCGACCACACCAACTGTACCATCCTCAACCACCACGACATTTGCACCACGCGACGCCCATTTCTGCAGCATCCGCGGTTCGGCCACGCCCTTCGAGGGCAGCTTGGAAGCCACACTGTCGGGGCGCACCTGGATTACCTCAGTCGCGATGTGAAAAACCCATGGGGTTTTAGCATAGGAAAATGATCTGCAAATCGTAGGTTTCCACATCTATGTTTACCTCAGGTTATAGAGTTATATAAAAGAAAATGGTTGGAAACTAGGTAGTATAACCCTAGTTTTATGATCTATATCACCATGATACATGGGTTTTATAGGCTGCATGCAATTGGTTCTATAGTTGTTTTTTTAAGGATTGCATCAGGACAAAGAAAAATGTTTGGCAGGATTTATATAGATGATGCATGGGGACATGCACCAACGACCCATCGCAGGGCACAAAGCTTGGGTGTGTTAAAAAAATGGGACAGGACCACAAGAAAAATCAACGTTTGTAGGCGAACTAAACATCATTAAACATTGCTAAACAAACGATTTTTGGGTATACCCATAATTGGACAAACCCATTGCGGGTTTCACCAGCCAGAAAATGTCGAGATTCCCAGGGTGTCCATTGGTTTCCTGTAGTTTGTCCCCCAACCTCTCCATCCAGAAATGTTTTGTTCTGGGGATACACTATGCAGTATATTGGGTATTATCATAACTGGTAATCCGCGTGAGACCCAACCATTATTTTGCGGATGTTCCCATTGAAACGTAAGTGCGCTTGGTTTCCTCATTATGACCATACTCTATCTCCATTGTAATCCCATCCACATTCCCATTTCAATCCCAGTATTATGCTATTATTGCCGACGGGACCTCTTAAGCCTGTAATTTCAACCAACAGAGATTTTCCAATTAAGTAGAGGTTTGTCATCATAAAGAATCATAATAAAGTATCAATGGGCTGGAAATAATCCAGTCATAAAATTTGGAATATTTGAAATACAACCCGTTCATTTGCTGGGAGGAACCTCTACTGTTTGCTGGAAAATCCACCATTTACTTCCACTAGAGGGTAACCCCATAGGTATCCACTAGTTATCCATTAACTACCCTGGTTGGTTATATAGCCATTCTATATATCATTATTGTTGATGAAAATCCAATATCAATATAATATGTATATATACCAATTATATAACTATAAACCCATCATATATATTTTCATGATATATGTCATTGTCATTTTTTCAATCCCAACATCACGGTAATATCATCCTCATCATTGTCCATTCAGATAGATTGATAGATAGATAGATAAATAGATAGATACATAGATAGACAGATAGATAGATAGATAGAGAGATAGATAGATAGATTGGTAGACAGACAAACAGACAAATAGATAGATGGATGGATGGATGGATATAATTCTAATCCAATTTTTCCTCCAGATTTTCCTTGATGTCTCATGATTGCCCAAAAATTTCCCATGTTTTTCCCATGATTTTCCTATGTCGCACTACGGGTGGCGCACTCCCACCACGTCACCGTTCTTTCGTCCCAGCCACGATGTCCACATCTGGTACCGCCACACCATTGGCACGGCCACGCGACAGATCGCTGTTGGCGAAACCAGTGACTTCTACCTCGCGACGCGGAGGTCGATCGATGGGAAATCTGTAAAAGGTTGATTTTTTTTTCACACGGAAAAAGGGGAGAGAACTGGAAAAAATAGGGATCAAAGTGGATAAAACAACTGGGAAGAATCAGGAGCAAAGTGGATAGAACTGGGAAATTTGAGGATCGAAGTGAGATAAAATCGATAGGAATCGAGGTGTATAACCATGTTTCGCCATGTAGAAACAGCAAATTTAAGAGTGTGACCTGCAAATTGTTTGGGTATTTACATAAGGTAAAATGACCAACAAACCACGGTGGTAGCTGCCAAAACAAAGCGTCACGTGGAACCATGTCCCATGATGTGGCTGTCGAACATGCCACTGGACACATTGAGCACGTGCGTTTCTGATGTTTTATGTGTGTATCTGTATTTATACATGTATGTCATCAAAGGATGTTTGGTTAGGGAGTTTCCGAGTTACGGAGGACTGTCCTGGTTAGCAGTCCCATAATCATTGTGTCAACCACATCATCATGCCAACCACATCATCATGCCAACCACCCATCATCAAGTAGTCGGGACGTGCAACAGCTCGGACGCGGCGCATTCACGGGTGAAAACATTCAAACGAGTAGGAAACAGCTGTCGAGCTCATCTCTGCCTGCGTGCACCATGATGAGCCCCGGATGGGAGTTGAGCTCAGGGCCGGAATTGTTGAATTCGGATGGTCCGGGGCTTGAATAAAGTGGCAGCAGAAAAAATGCATCGCCGAAGTCAAGCTCGCTGCGACACTGTTGGCGCTGCGATGCTGCCCCCTATAGTGCACATGATGCGGGCTTGTTTTTTGTGATGCTCAAAATGCAACGCATTGTTCAAAGAGGGTGACGGATTTTTTTGATGCAACGCAAGTGCCTCTAAATCAAACAAACAGAATGCAAGCCACCCTGTGAACTGGTGGCTAATTAAGCATCTTGTTTTCGCGGCTTCCCATCCCAGGCCCAACTTCCCATCCCAGAATTGCTAGGAAAAAAACGGGCTTTCCGAAGTTTTCACCTCTCTTTTCACCCGCCAAGTCAAGCGCCATTCTTCAGCCAAATTCAGTGAGCGACCAGATTCAGTGAGACGACTCGGATCCGAAAATCTTCAAAGACATCTCTTCAGCCACTTCCGAGGCCATTGACTCACTAATTCACTCATTCATTGATTTCATTGATTTCATTGATTCATGGATTCATTCGGTTAGTTGTGCACGGATTCTTTCATGTCATTTCATTCGCATTTCAAGCACCATTTGCTCATTCATTGATGCACCTCACAACTTCAACAATTAATTGCTTCTGCATGGCAAAGACTTTCCTATAGGCCATTGATTTCTTATAGCAATTTCCCATTTTGCGAAACTTCCGCCCCGGCGCGGGCCGGGCACTAACTGGTACCAAGTAAATCAGCGGAGACGTAGAGAACAGCATGTCATGTTTTGATGTCCAAGATATTACTTCATCTTCGAACTTTTGTCCGTCTGGGAACCTGACCACATTATTACCATTCATGAAAATGTAGCAGCACTTGTTCCGATTCAAGTGGAGGCCAAGCTGTTTGGAAACCCCTTCCTTAATTTGTTCGCTGATGCTATTAAATCAGCTACTGTATTAGAGAACAGTGTCATCCACTTTTTTTAACCCTTTAGTTGTAAAAATACAAAACATGTTGATTCACCCATCACTAATGACAATGACAAGATAGCCAGCTGCTGGTTGCATTCTTACCCCGTTAAACGTAGATATTAATTTTGCCTAAGCAATTCTCAGTATCTTTGTTAGTTTTACAAAGACTCTATCATATCACACGTACAAATACATATGAATGTGTTTACCCCTTTATCCATAGATGTGTATCTGTCTATACACTTAACAGTTAACAGCGTATGTTGGTTGGTTCTTGTCCTATGTTGTCCTATGTTTTTTGGGGTTTTGTTCACCAACCATACTCCAACCCCGTTGCAGCCTCTGGAAGACTGCTGGCCAACATGACACGAATGGCCTGGCCATTCAACAGGCTTTGTACTTTGGTAAACTTAAACCCATGGTGACTTGGGGATCCCCCATTTTAAGAACCCCCCTATATATCCATGTTTCATTGGGTCATACCTTCAATCTTCACCAATGAAATGGATAAAACCAAATTGATGTTCACAATCTGCCAGTAATGTTCATTACACCATGTGTTTCATTGCTAATTCAGGTGTTTCCTTCAAAACATGTTTCTCGGACCCAAACCCTATCGGCTTCATCAGGGGTGCTCCCCACATGAATCCAGCAAGAGCCGCATCCGAGGGAAGATTCCGTCGCGTTGCTACTCTAGGCCTTCACTGGAAAAGGCAAGATACATCATCATCATCATCATCATCATCATCATCATCATCATCATCCACTTTCAGAGTTGCAGTGTAGGTCGCACTTTGCTTGTCCAATGTCAAGGGCAAAGGCAACAGCAAGAAGCTTTCAACAAACATCTTGTTTGAAGGAGGGCGGATCCTGCACTCTCAATATGTAGTTCCAAACAACGGTTTGCCAAAACAAAATGGTAGTTTCATCTGGTTAAGATCCTTGATACATTGCAAAAACATGCAAATTCCGAAGTGTCGCCCTAAGTTTGTCTTCAGGAAAGCCTTGTCTAAAACGAGTGGGCCAGCTCGTATCCCTGGTTTGATGGGCATCAATTTCAATGTTCATTGGTTGCTGACCCGTCATACCCTGAAATGACATAGATCAATCTTAAGTTGCCATCCCCGCTTTGCTCCCTCACAAATACCCTTTGAATATCGATGGCTATTCAAATATAGGGTACCTTACCAATGGGCCTACCAGATTGGTCATGTCTGGTATGTAACTGCATTTAACATCATCTAATCATCTCAAAGTTGGTGAATGCTTACAATGGCTATACACATCTCAACTGATGGATCGATTAGACCATGACCTTCTATTGAAACCTCTGGGTGACTTGAGGGGGTCCCCCGTTTAAAGAACCCTCCACATATATCTATATATAAATATTTATATAGATCTAGATATAGATATTTATAGAGCTATTTATATAGATATAGATATTGATATAGATATTAAGTATATATTAAATGGATTTAAATGGGATTTATAAACCAACACACTACTATTCCTATGGGGGGGTTCTAAGTCATGGGGGATCCCCAATAGAAATGGATGATAACTGGGATAACCCGCCCTCGCGCAAAACGACCTCGGCGAGGCGATCTACGCCACGTTGGCTGGAGGCAGTGGGCCTCAGGCGAAGCCGCATGATTTTTGGGAATCTACTGAGGATATCATGGGGATAACTTTTTTCGAACTGACGAACTTGATGAACTTGATGCTGAAGGGTGTGTCTGAAAATGGGGGAAGAAAGTCAGACTGGCTATGGTCCTTATGGCAATTTGTTTCTGGGGAAGAATTCATAAGTACCATGAAATTTCACCCTGAACCCTATATTCAAACACCCAGGTGGGTCAAAACATGACGGGCTGATGCAGCAAACCACCTTGAGGGCCCCAGCATGATCTGTGCAATGAGCTCCTGGCTTCGTCGGATTTATGGATGGATTTACTGAAAAGCCATATGTTCTATGGAAAGTCTACTGCAAAGCAGTTCTTTGAATGGAATACGCGCTGGAAACCGATTTTTTCTTCATGCAATCTATGATTTTGTCCTGTAAAATTCCACTGAAACCAATCTCAAAGCAATCCAATGATTGAAAGACACACAAAGTCTGAATCTGTTGATGTCTGTTGGGACCAACTGCAACGAAGATTTTTGCCCTTCAATTGGCTCCTTGGATCCTCAGATCTTCCACGACATCAGCAAGAACAGTGGCAATATCCACTTGGTTGGTGGTATACCTACCCCTCTGAAAAATATGAGTTCGTCACTTGGGATGATTATTCCCAATATATGGAAAAATAAAAAAATGTTCCAAACCACCAACCAGCCACTTATCGATGTAGGTGTCCAGCTGTGGTCCTGAACCTCGTCTTCCAAAGATTCGCCCTTGAATTTCGGTGCCAAGATGGGCACCTCACATGGACGCCGAGGATCGGGTTGTGCTAATAAAGCTTTGAAATGTTTTTTTAGGGGAACAAAAATATGATAATATGCCAATATATGCAATATCGTTTTGGCTTTTGTCCCTGAAGTTGCCTGAAGTTCCGAAATGTTTGTTTAAGGAGATGGAACCATCAAATCTTCTAGCTTGAATTGCGCGTTCCTAGCCACTTCATCCCATTGTTCATGACCGCGAACCACAACATAGCTCTGCTGGAGGAAAAGGAAGCATGTCGCTACTCTCAAACACGAAAATGAAACATCACTGAGATCATCACTGAAATTCCATTGGATTATCATTGGATGTATAATCTAATTATAATTATCATCGGAGGCTCATTTTCCCTATTAGATGGCTATAATTGGAGGTATACCGGTGGTTGAAGGGTCAATCCCCGCCAGGCGCCCGCACGCAAGCAGGCTGTGCTGCAGCATCCACGTGAGTGCCCTCAGTAAGCGGCTTCCTGCAGCCATAGGGTAAGCCTCTTCTGGTGGTTTGGGGCAAACCAACAAAGATACCTTGAAGATACCCTCCAATAAATTTACATAGACCCTGCTAAAAATGGGCTTGGAAGATTAGTTTCCACTAAAAATTGGTTCTTTTCAGGGTCGAACTGTTAATTTACCAGAGGGTACAGCATCTAGAAATCTGCCTTAATGGGCTAGCAATGGACCCACAAAACTTGTCGCTTGGATCTCAACTCACTCAACGGCCATCCATAATTTATGCCGAAAAAACATATGCTTTGACCCTTCTGCATATGGCTTTGTTGCATGGTTTTGAATTGTTCCTGGCTAAAGTTCCTGTTTATAATGATTTAATCCAATTTGCCCATGGTAGATCCGAATTTCTGATGGTGAATATTGCTTAATTCCATTTCGAATGGTGAAAAATGCAGTTGAATTATGGTCCATCCCTGGACGACCGTCCTGTTGGTGCGCCGCTTTTTGACCTGGACTTCGGATGAGACAAATGTAATGCATATTGCACCTCTATTATATATGTATTACACATATGTAAATACAAATATGTAAATATATATGAGATATGTATATGTATTATTATATATGTATATGCTGTACATGTATTCTCGAATCTAATCGTCTAATCGCATCGAATCTCATGTAATATCGAATCTAATTTAATACGATCTATCCATCCATCCATCGTTCTTTCTAATCCAATCCATCTAATCTATTAAAGACCTATCAAACTCCTACATCACTTGCAATAACTCTAATGTAAGTTACCTCCTCTAATCAAACAGGCTTTGCTAGAAAAACCATCATTTACTTCGATGGTTCCACCAATTGAACCCCTTTTCCCATCGTTTGAAATCAAAAAAAGGGTAGATGTAACCCCATCATGATTCATGCCATTAACTACCCATTACAAAATCACATTGCCCTGTTGATAAGTCCGTCAAAAACCAATAATCACCATTAATCACCATCATTAATCATTCTATAATCACCAATAATCACCATTCTATAATCACCATTAATCACCATTAATCACCATTAATCACCATTAATCACCATTAATCACCATCAATCAGAATAGTTCACAAACGAGCAAACGGCCTTTTTTGTGAACGATTCCCCCAAACCCAACCATCATCAAGATTCTTAAGTTGGTTGTATATCCCATATCCCCATGACATGGTTCTTAGACATTACCATGAATTCATCTCATTCCCGAAAATTACGCCATGTGTGTGTATATATGTATATATATATGGAGATAGTGTGTATATGTATATATATATATGCAAATGTAGATACAGATCTAGATATCGAGATCGATATAGATATCAACATCGTGATGTTCATCTCACCAATTTTTTCGGGTAAGGGAAATGGACAAAGTCAAAAACCTATTGTGAAATCCCCAACTTAACGATTGGCTGATGGGGAATCTCATAATGGACTATGATCATCCCCAATACATTGTGTAGTATCAGGGACCCCTACGATCATCGACAAACTGGGGGTCTTGAAACTGCTCAAACGATTGAAGTTGGTTATATATATATATATATATTATATCCAGTTATTTGTATCCAATTCAAATCCCATTTCCATCAGCTCCATTAAGTTAGTTGATATTCCCATTCACTTCCACTGGTTGGTTATATATATTATCCCACTCAAGTTGGGAGTATTGTCACCCATTGTCACTACAAGTCCCTTTTGTTGCTTGATCAATGAACATGAATCCCATTTTTCTTGGTGAATCCCACATCTCCCAGATTGATATATCTTCTGAGCTCCCGAGCCTCACGGGGCTCAGCCTCCATGCTGGAAGTTGGGATCGTTCATGGAAAGGCCAACAGGAAATCCGTTCCTTTTGTCTTTTTAATTGACATTTAATGTATATATAAATACATTCATATCTATTTTTTGTAATGAATTGTAATGATTATGTCATACACATTATAGATATTATAGGGATTTGTAGGGTATATTCTACATAATATACATTAAAAAGACTTGTGGATGTATATTGTATGTGCAGAGTTGCGAAGCCCACCAGTCTTATGGGTCAAGCAACCTGGGATATGTCTTCTTGGGGGGGATTTCCCAGCTAGCCAACATTAACCAACAATATCAATATTGGAATGCCATTGTTTCATATAATAAATGGTGGGTATTACCATGGTTAGCCTTATTAACCAACATTACCAGAGAGTAACCTACAGTATTAATATGGTCTATGGTCATCCCGCCATCATTTTCATGGCATTCCCCAAATGTAATTGGCTGGTTATATTTCCATATATTTCCCATTATCCCATCCCATGATGGTAATTCCCAAAAGATAGAAGTTGGTCAAATCCGAATCGAAAATGAGTTATAAATCACATGTCTCTATCTTTTAGATTTTTTCTACATCCCATAAAGAATATCTATTTTGAACGGTCAAATCCAACGAATTTGAAGACCACTCACACCATTCCTCGCTGACCAAACCTTCTCGATAGGGGACTTGGGCAGCTTCTTTTGCCCTGGCAGCCACCGAGAGTGGTATAAGATGTATATAAATATATGATTATATGTGTATGTAGTGTGTGTATATGTATATATATATATACATTGTATGTATATATATATACATTGTATATGTATATATATATACATACATACATTGTATATGTATATATATATACATATATGTGTGTGTGGTGTGTGTATGTATATATATATATGGTGTATGTATACATGTATACGTGTATATATATATTATGTGGTGTATGTATATGTATGTATATATATATATATGGTGTATGTATATATATAATTATATATGTATGTGTATATATATATATGTATATATATATACATATATGTATGTGTATATATATATATTTATTTATATACATACATATGTTCCACATATATATATATACATACATATATATATACATATACATATATATATACATACACACATATATATATATATATATGTACACATGTGGTTTCCTCATTTTCCTCGTATATCTTCAAAAAAAAAAGCTTTTTGGCGGAAGATGTCTAAGATAGATTTCAGGAATCTCTTTTTTTGTAATGGAAGCGGGTGAGGTAGGCCCTCTAAGGCCCTCTAAGGCGGTACATCCGGGCGAGCCCCGGCCAAAAACAAGATCCGTTTTTGGGCAACCCTTTGTGAGTAGGTTTACACAAGTTCAACAGGGTTGATCAATGGATTGGTTTAAGGGAAAATTCACAGGAAAGCCCCATATTTAATGGGAAGATCTATGGTTTCCCGTAGATTTTCCCTTAAACCAATCCATTGAGTTGACAAATGATTTTGCAACTGAAAACGTGCCATATTTGTGTCTTCATGTCAGATGTCAAACTGTGTATGCAAATTGTTGATCGATAAACCACCCTGCTTGATAACTCAGCCTCAACCCGTGATGGTTATACCGCTTGGCTACTGTAACATTAGATAACCCTCCAAAAAGGAGTAATAAGTCTCCCAGGCATCATCTGGGACAGTCATCCCCTAATGCTGCTGCAGTGCAATCCCCATTCATGGTGCCTTCAAACACTAAAAAAAACATGAAACCTGAATTGGAACCTCCATTTTTGTTTAGAAAGAGATGTTCCTTCGTAAAAACTCACTGGCTTCGGGGGATCCATATTTAACTTCATTGGCGAATTCAATTCATCGCTGGTTCTTTCCCTGTCTTTCTGGTCACTCCCTCATGTTTTCACCTGGCAACCCCATGGAACGTTGCAGGCTTTGTACCTCGAAGCGCGAGGTAACGATTTGAGAAGTGCGTGGTGGTACTTCTTATCTGGATATAGATGTGTAATATGTATATATATATATACATAATCGTAATCATATTGGATGTACATGATCATATATGTCTATATAATTATATAATTATATATACATATGAGGCCGTCAAAAGTCATGCTGTCCCCAATATGAACCATCATTTTTGGTGAGATTGTTTCTCGCAAAACCTCTTTGTATGCTCAAATGCCATATGAATTTCCTGGTATTGTTCAATCAGTCAAAGCCCTATTTAAAATATGTTTAAATTAGACTCTGGTAATTTAACATAGCTATTGAAAATGACCATTTATAGTGGATTTACCCATTGAAAATTGTGATTTTCCATAGTTATGTTAGTTTACCAGAGGGTAGACTCCCCATGTTTGCCTTTTTCGAGTTTCACCACTAAAATGGCACCATGGCAGCGACTCAGGGGCACCATGTAGTAGCACAAGGCCCCCAGCACCGCGAAAATCAGCTGAGTCAAGTCTAACGGTACCTGGATGGCGAAAAAAAAGGGCGAATCTTCACCTAAATCAGCCCGGAAAAACCCTGCATTGTGGGCAGGCTATGAGAGAAGTGGCAGATCGCTGGGAAAAGACTGTGACGACATGTTCAACAAACATCCATAAAAGCAATAAACTTTGTGCACACAACGGGCAAACAATTGTCATTCTCTGTTTTGGAGAGGCAGAACATGGATATCTGGTCCAGTATCACCCAAGAAAAGGTGATATCACCCAGGTGTCTCAAGTTCTAGCCCTACCTTGCCAGCCTCAAAGCCTGTGCTGATGAGCCTTGAAGTCATTTGCCAACACCAATTTCTTGAGTGAAGTGAGTATCTTGAAACAAAGTATTCCCCCAATAGGTGATAAACAAAAAATATCTTGGTCAAGATAAGCAACTCATCAACCAAGAGCTTTTATAGCAACCATCGCTAGCCTCAGCATGTTCTCTATATCAGATCCATAGAGTCCGACCGTCATCCGCACCAGCCCAGGGACGATTGCACAAAGTGCCGAGATCACAAGAAGGATCAGGAGATTATAGTTGGAAGGCTTCGTCCTTAACACATTGGGTCAACAAATGTGTCAAACACCTAGCGGCTTGAAGAAATCACCATAGTGATATAGTAACAACCAAAATAATTAATTTAAAAAAAAAAAACAATGACAATAACAATAACAATAACAATCGTATATAATAACCATAGTAATGATGACAATAATGATAACCATAGTAATTAATAAAATATGATAATAATGGGTGGTGAATCGGGAATTCATGGGCTTTGGTAATCCCCAGATCCCTACCCCTATAGAGGGGGAGGGCGGGGGGGACAAGACCAACCTGTCGAATTCCACTTTTTTTGCTTGGAAATCTTGGGATAGTGATCGAACCCCTCACATGGAATTTTAAAGTAGCATTTCTTAACAAGCCTGGGGCACTGGTTAGATTGTACTTGCGCTTAGCTCCGGAGGAGCTAAGTGCAAGTATGATGACGGCAGCGCAATTTTTGGAGGGATGCCACCCCTACACATGTGCTGTTTCAGTCTGACATGTGCTTAGCTCCTCCGGAGCTAAGCGCAAGTATTTATTTTCATCTGCTTGCCAATGACATGGAATGACGAGGAACATATACATATATATATATATATTGATCATTGAGAAAATATGATTGCGAAAATGGAATTTTAAAATGAAATTTCAGTACGACTCTCCCCCTCAAATGTCATTTTTAAGCGGGTAGGGCAGGGTAGGGATATCCCCAGTACTCATCAATCAACTGGGTTTTTGGAAGTCGCCCAAATCGATGAGGGGTTTTCACTACTATGCGTTGGTGTTCCTCTTCAGGGGAGGTCTGTTTATGTTGAAATCATCAACCAGGAGTGGGGTTGGCAACTAGCCACCCCCAGCCACATCCCTCCCTCGAAAATATTGATGTAACTCGTCAGTTATGGAGCCCCCCATCGCCCCATCTTCATCAAACTACACTCATGGTTTGCAGGAACTGAAGAACGACAAAAATTGGCCGCCAGCACTTTCAGCAATTCAGGTTTCAGAGCTACAACAGGTTGAAACCACCAGCCATTCATCTGTTGCTGTCGCTTCCCCCGATTGATCAAACACTCGTCCTGGGAACATTCCAGTATGAATGGACTATTACAGTAACATGTATTACCAGGTATTAACAATAAATTTGACATGTTGGATATGTTGGGATTTTGGAAACCAAGAACCAAGTCGAGGTATGGTCGTGTCTACACCAAAAACAAAGCGAAGGTTGACTGAAACCCCCCATGTTCTTATCCAAAGCGCATCCGGGGAAGGGAGGAGACTCCCACAAAACATAATAAAACCAAGGGCTCACTGGTTCAAGCTCCAGAACTCAAAGGTCAATGTGCTACTACACCCCCAGCCGAGGCATGAAGGGAAGCCTATGGGCCTAAGCTTCGACCAAGCTGCATGCTTGGCAAGAAGCTGACATTGACCTGCGCTGGCAACAGCTTGCGACTTGCCAACACTGGGGGCATGGTGACGAAACAGAATGGGGGTCATTGATGGTGATGACGATTGTCATTTTTATCACTGCAGTTTTTTTTTGTCATGGGCCTGATCATGATCATGATGATGATCATGATGATCATGATGATGATCATGATGATCATGATGATCATGATGATGGTGTCATCACTCCGCAAACCCATCCAACCCAACAAATTCTCACTCCCCAACATGACCATCTGATCCGAATAAAGCCGCGTGCCTTTGACATGGATGGCATGGCTACACAGTGTAATGGATCTCCTGTCGGGCTCCATTGGCTGGGCTCTGGGCTCCCGGTTTATTTGGGGGGTCCATAAGATGTACGGGGGTGTTAATACTAGGAATATGGGATTGCAAACAATATGTTTTTTTCAGGAAGCCATTGAGACATTAGAATTCTATCGGGGGGCAAATCCAAGATCAGACCTGCAGATTCTGCAAACACGTGTGCACCATTGAAAAGCTTGCTACGATTCCCTACTTGTCCAATCAAACTCCGCCCGGAATTTTCGGGGAATACTCGGAGGATCTCAGAAGATCATCCCACAGTAAGTGGTTAACAACTGGGGTTATAACATGTTCCAACCCGTCTATAGATGGGATGTTCCACTTAGAGGACTTACTAGTACCATCTAATACCCCATGGCTTCAAAACCTCTATGGCTCAGCCACTGGAAGCCCATCTTGGGACGCTGGACCATGGTTTTTGGGGGCCTTATTCCATTCAACGGGGGAAAGGATTCCCAATCCAAAAAAAAACAACCATGAATCCCATGAACTATCGGTTATCATTGAATCTCCAATCCCATGAAATCAGAATTTAAAAAACATGAACTAGTCAAACTAATCATTAAATCATGTTAAATCATGTTAATTCTTCATCATTTAATTTAGTTAATCACTAATAATTAATTAATCTAATCCCACTAAATCATTCAGAAAATCCCATGAACTCACCATCGATAGATAGTCGCCGAGTCACAAAATAGTCGGAAGTCTTCGATCTCGAGCGCTGCTGGAGAGCTATTCCTGGGATACCGCGGGCCCCAGTGCCGCAAAAACAACCAGAGCTCCCCAGATTTCCAATCTTTTGGATGACAAATATTTCAAATAAACCTACTGTAAATCTGCTGAGCTGGCCTATTCCTCCATTTTTCGCACCGAAGTTTCACATCTTGGAATCCTCGGAAAGGTCCTCATTTTACCCAGTGAGATCCCCCTTAGCCCTAGAGAGGTCGGTCCGTCGGTCCGTCGGTCCTTCAGCAAATAGTGGTCTTACTGTAACTGGCGCGAGTCTTTTGAGTCTCTGAACCACAACAGCCACGGTGTCACGGTCACGGTGCAAATTTTGCAGTGCCATTCGACAGATCAAGAGCATAAGTACGCAGCTATAGGTATTTATATACATACAGTAGATTGTGAATACATGTCTATACGTGCAATTACATATATATATATATCAAAAACATGAGACTATATTATATCATAATGTATACATATAAGTTATAATGACTACAAGAATATGCCAGACAAAGCGTGAATGCCAGACACGGTCCCGATTTTCGGGCCTATCATGGCCGGGAATCCCCGAGGCATCGAAGTGGGAAAAACATCGAAAAATGGTGGTTTTATGGGAAAATCATAGGAAAACCATAGGAAAATGGTGGTTTTACCCTCTGGTAAACGTTCACATAACTATGGAAAATCACCATTTCTAATGCGGAAATCAACTATTTCTATGGCCATCTTCAATAGCAAACTCTTAGTTTACCAGAGAGTAACGGGAAAATCCACTATAACTGGAGGTTTGAATGGGAAAATCACCGATAAACGCTGGATTTCCAGCCAACCATATTTTTTTACCCGATGGTATCCAGAGCGAATCATTGTAGATGTCCCATTTTATATCTCCATTAATATCCCCATTCTGTTCCAAATCAGATCCCCGTGCTTTACCCATGTTTTCATAAGAATTATGTACCCCAGGAATATCCCTAAAGAATATCCCAATAATATCCCAAATCTCCATATAGCAACCCAAACAAAAGATGCCGAAAAGTGTTTCCAGTATGTCTTATTATAGATGCTATTTACATCTATTTACTTCATATCCGTTGTTCATCTATTCTGGGATTTGCAACGCACTATTCCTGATCATTCAATGGATTGGTTTAAGGGAAAGTTTTCATGAAAACTCCACTCCATTCATGGTAAGAACCATTGATTCGATGGATTCCTGTAGATATCTGTAGATGTTATAGAAGTTGATAGATGATTTTCATTGATTTTCCCCATGAAAACCTTCATAAAACACATGATTTCCCCATGAAAAAACAAGAACTCCCCCATCCTCTCGTGGCTCCTTCCGGCTCCAGTCTCGTACCTCCTGGACCACCATCTCGTTCACTTCGTACATGGCCTGGGAACGGGAAAAGATTGGAAGAAAGGATGAGAACATGAGAATGAATGAGACATACTACTAGCGTCACCATTGGAAACCAAGAGGACAGTATATGGCTGTCTACATCCAGACATTTGTGGATGATTTCTAGGTCCCGTTTCAGACGGCCCAAGTTTTCGCACAATAAAACGGGTAAAAATTGTTCTTTCACCGGAAATTCCCAACTTTTGGGGAATATGGATAGCCATAGTTCTGAATGCCTCGCTGCACCTAGGATCCAGGCCATGTGTCGGTAGCTGTGCCAAAGTTCATCGGCCTCTTCACCTAGAACCACACGCCTGTCAGGACGAGTTCTGGGAACGGGAGAATACCCAAATGGCTATGAAGTTTGGGGAAAATGCTGGATATTTCTATGGTTAATGGGTTTATGAAGATGTATGGGGAATCCTATTTTCAGACAAATGTCTTTTCAGGGAGTTACTGTACAGTTATCTACCCGTTCAAGTTTTGAGTGTTCCGAAAAGTCTGGAAATTGGGATGATAACGAATCACGACTATGGAACCTTGAGATGGATCATCATCATCATCATCATCATCATCATCATCATCATAATGCTAATTATAATGATCATCATCGTCGTCATCATCGTCACCGTCGTCACCGTCGTCACCGTCGTCATCGTCGTCATCAACATCGTCATCACGATCATCATGCCCTCCGGTCGTGAAACCTGGCAATGGAAAATCTCCCTTTGTAGTGGATTTCCCAGCTAGCCATGTTCAATTCCCGGATGGGCACTTGTCTGCGCCAATCTAACACCTAGGTACACCGTATCACAAAAAGGGTTGCTGATATCAATTCCCAACAAACTGCCGATGCTGCTCATTGGTGGTGTAAAAACAATTTCCACAATACACCGGATGAAACATCTATACACGTACATGTGTATATCCATATATAGGTGATTCATATAATATATATATATATATTATGGTATGACATATTTATTTTATGCAGTTGTGCATTCATTGATTGCATGTATTTATTACATCCTAGTTGTTAGCAATACAATAATGATGCTTGGAATCCCACCTGGCAGCGCCATCACTCCTCGTTTTCGCTTCACGAGCACGGCGAAAGGGCCGGCAAACGGTCAACCGTTCTAATAACCAATGATGGGATGAATATTCATGGGATGGAGAATATACCATAATTATAACCAATGGGAAACCGATGATGGTTACTTATATATGGTAATTATTAGTTATACCATGATAATATACCATTAGTTATATCCAGTAATATATTTTTGGGATATTCATGGGATATTCAGGTTACCATAATATACCAACAATAACCAATGATGATGGGATAACTAGTCATGGAATCGAATGATAGTCAATGGTTCTATAATCTTCGATACATCATGACTTTGGGGGTGTCTTGAAATGGGGGGACCCCAATAGCTGGATGGATCTGGATGGTAGAAATTGCATGGAAAAAAAAAACAAACAAAAATGGATGATAACTGGGGTTACCCCCATGACTATGGAAGCACCTCCATATGAATCGCTATCAAAATGGATTGATGACCATGCCCCAAGTGGGCTTTGGATCAGTCTTCAAAATCACCAAATGTCACGGATGTTTGATCATATCCTGAAAATTGCTCCATTTTTTGAGGGCGATCCAGCTTCGAAGCACGAGAACAGCGGTCCCAAATGCTACACCGGTGGTCCCCACCGCGGATCGGCTCCTGTCCGTGAAGGTAAATCGGCTCTCAGAGAGGCTGGCCCCATCCTGACACCAACTCATTGGATCAGCCGGAAATGACCGGATTTCCCACGGTTTCTTTGGCGATCTCATCTGCCCTTGCCTTGCCCAGTAGGTCAAACATCAGGGCCTGGCAGTGCTTCAAAGGGCCGCAAAAAAGGAGGGGTTGAACTTCAGACTTCAGAAACTCCACAGGACATGACATGACTGACCCCCGATGTTGCGGTGAGTCCCTTTTAAACATAGGGATTCAAGTTTCAAAAGGATTCGTTCCAAAAAAATGTGCTGAAGGAGTTTGACAGTTTGACCACAAGAAACAGGCAGCTGAAACTACACCAAGCTCTGGGGCTGAAGCTTACATACCCCATTGGACTATATCTGGATTGAATTACAGGATATAATCATTAGGATCCCAACCATTTACAGTAAATCAAACATAACTATGGACTATATGTGGAATCAAAATTACATAGTTATGATTGATTTATAATTTATAGTAAATCAAAATTCTTACCACATATATATGTAAACATAACTATGGACTATATGCGATGCGGTAACAATTTTGATTGCAAATAATTGGGGCCCAAGCGGCCCAAATGGGGTGTTGAATGTTTGGATGATCACTCGGGGGAATGGCCACCTGACAAAGGTAACTCTCTCAATCATCCCAAGCGATGCTTGGACAAAATCGAACCAGATGTGCCACGGACAAAACATCATATGTATATATATATATATGTATATTGAACATTATATATATATGTATATATATATAATATGTGTATATATATAATATGTGTATATATATATATAATATGTGTATATATATATATACGTGTGTTCAATGGTCGTCCATCCCATAATGGGAATCCTGTTCATGGGTATATAAATCGCTGTGAAAATGAATTGATGACTATCCCCCAACATGGGTATAAATCCCACTTTTGACCATGATACATCTGACACCATCATCCTGAAACAGGAAACTATCATCTTGGTCCAGCCACACTGAACATCAGCATCTCGCACTCTAACCCCCCCCCGCCCGGCCCACATTTTTGGCAGAAACGCTGCCATGTTATCCGCCGCTGCCAGACCGATTTTAAATCGGACCAGTTCGCGTTGAGATACACCGTATGCTGCTGAGAACTGACTGGTTCTAACTGGATGTGTTATTCAGACTTTCAAGTAAGTCCTACCCCGATGCAAACAGAAAAACTAAGTTTGGAAAGTTTGGAATCAAGAACGGCCAAGAGAGTCAATCACACAAATCATGTTCCTGTCTTTTTGTAGGGCTTCCATTACTGGATTTGTGCAGGGGCATCAAATGGCGGGGAAGCAACCGAGGTCACTGATCGCAGTCGGCTGCTTTTCTTGGCTCCTTACTTCGCATGAGATGCAGCAATCCTCAGAAGCGAAAAGGGCCACCTCCTGAGGTGAATTCCAGAAGCAGAGTCTCCGGAGATCCAAAAGGCGTGGCCTTTCCACCAAAGTGTTGTGGCAGTTGCAGGGACCAAACATGCGGACAAACACATCTAGTAGATGGGTATAACATGGTGCAACCAGTTTTATATAGGATGTTTCACTGCAAGCCCTATGTTTGCCCATGACAGATCTCTCATATCCTTTCACATGCTCAAATCCCTGCGTAGGGCTAGCATTGGGTTTTAACTTTCCAATACAATATACCCTAAATCTTGAAAGCGAGTCAAAATCGCTGCATATAGCTTGTGTTTTCGTTCATCCTCAGGTGATATGTATATGATATTGCCGGAACGTAGGGTTTGGCGCCAAATGTTCTAGCCTGAAAGTTGACCAAGCCACTGGACCTACTGGCTACAATGAGTTGAGGTCTGTCGCTCTGTACCATTGCAGCCTTAAAAAAGGAGCCAAGCGCCCAAAAAAAGGGAGGCACCCTGCTTGGGATGTAACGTCAATTTAGCAAAGCCTTGTCCGAAACCAAAATGCTTGGAGATGACAAGGCACGGCTTTTAGCCGCGTACGTCGCATCCCAAGCGCTACCTGACTACGGCGGAGCACTGCTAGCTCCTTCTGTGCGAATTGGAGGCGGGGCAAGTTGCCCAACTTGGCCATATCACTATGTACTGAGATGGCGGATTGG